GCCTGCAGACGTCTGATCTCGATCCCCGAACACACACCCTTCGTCCACAGAGTCCAGCAGCAGGAACACAGCCTGAGACGGAGCCTTACAGCTGAGCAGCGGCAGCAGCACACACCTGACACACACACACACACACACACACACACACAGATTAACATGATCACAGGTCTTTAAAATCAATAAATATAATTATAATGGAAGTCAATGGGCAAAAACAGCCACTAACATAAGCAAAGGGGGAGTCAATATGAGTGTGTTGATGAGTTTTTTTCCCAAAATATGTGTCAAAATAAAGTTTTGCATCCCACCTGTGGCCAAATTAAGACTTTAATTCAGCCCAGAGTGGATGGAAATAACCCAACAGTACACAAGGGTTAAACACCTTCTCCAGTAGTGTTCAACAGAACAAAGAAACAAACAAGGGTGATGAAATGATCACACTGATTTCTGCGTGAACTATCCCCTTAGAGGGTCATGAAACACCAGAACACATGTGTTGAGCTGTTGTCAGTGGTATATGTGTCCCACACTGCTAAAAACACTATTAGGACACCTATATTTCACTAAAAAGTGTAAATTGGTTGTTTTTGCGTTATTTCAAGCAAATTCGTACTTCCGGTTTGAAACGAATTTTTGAAGCTGCGTCACGGTCATGAGATAATAGCGTGTATACCAGTGGCAGACTGGACGTCTGTGCCAGAGTGTGTCTTATTACGTCTTACAGTGTGCTGCATTAATGCATGAGTAAGGCTTGATTCAAACCAATCAGCGTGCTCTATTGTGCAACTTCATTAATATTCATTACTGTCAGTGTTTAGATGACAGAGACGCCACGTTGTGTTGGCAAAACAAGCGTGCAGTGTTGCTTTTATAGTTTGCTGCAGTGAAGTTTTGTTTTCATTTTCTCTCTGTGAGAGCGCAGCTGGAGTCACGTGTGGATTAACAGTGTACGCGACGCTCGACAACAATAACTTACGTGTCTAAGGAGGATTATTGTTTACCTGAGAGCTGTTCTCATCTGCAAACGCTGAGATCCAGATTCGCTGCTCGTCTCCTCTTAATAAAGACGCGGCTCTAGTTGCTGGTGATTGTCCTGTCTCTACAGATTTGGTAAGTGAGCGACCAGCGCTCTTTGTTTATTCAGTTTGTTCGTATTGAACTAAGTTAACTATAGCACCGGAATAACACACGCGGCTTTCTGACGCTACCTGCCGTGTGCATCTAAGTTTCCGGGAAATGCAGAGGTTTTTTTTCTCTGATTCGCCGTGCGGTATCAAACATTGCATGAAAAATACACGCTTAGAGCAGCTCCTCAAACCAAATATCTCGTTTGACGCGAGGGAGATGAATGAATTCCCTGAATGAAAGAGCCAAACTGCAGTTAAAGTCCAACATTTAATCATTTGGCAAATAATTCAACTACAGATGTGCATGTAGGTTAAACACCATCACTTTCTCCTGTGTGTGTGTGTTTGTGTGTATTTTGACTCTGAAACTCGCGCGTGCCCAAAGAGACACTCCCACACCCTCCCACTTTAGTTCCTCCGACACTCCCCCTAAACAGAGCTGGACACGCCCACTTTTCTGACTTTTTCCAAAGTAGAGGTGTGAAAACACCCTGCTGAAACGAGGGGTTTCATGGCCCTTTAAAGCAGTCTTGCACATCTGATCCGTCTACACTTGAGCGTTTCACTAGTCTAATCCTGCATGCCTGACACACAGAGTCGAGTCTGACAGTGGCAGCGCATGGACTCTCATTCTGCCCACGTCACGCACATTCACATGCATGTGGGCTGAAATCTCCCAGCATGCACTGCAGCTGAGAAACACAAGCAGACTGTCAGGTAACACACAGTCCATCACACACACACACACACATGCTTCATCTAACCGCAGCAGTGAGATGATGCAGGATGTATAAAATATATGCTTGGATGTGAGATTTGATTATTTGCACAGCCTTAATAATAATAATAATTAAAAACATTCAAATAAAAAAAGACATTACAGTTCATTATTGTGGTCTGTCGAGAGCCATGAAGGGTGTACGAAATTTGGTGGAGGTGCCGGCCTTGTGACTCTCCAAGCAGTAAAACCTGTTTGTGTGTGAACTGCCCCTTATAAAGACATCGACTAAACGTGTGTGATATTGAACACGTCCAGCAGAGCAGCATCTCACTGACAGACCTGCAGCCAGAACACAGAGTCTGTCTCCTGCTGGAAATGTGAAGCGTCCAGTATAAACCGCTGAATCATCTCTCAGAGAGGACACACACACACACACACACACACACACACATTCTTTGGCGCACACACACACACACACACACACACACACCAGACTCCACCCTGTTCATCCTTCATTAGTCTCAACAGCACAACACCAGCAGCCCCATAAACCCATCAGCTCTGGAACAAACCAACACAAGCTGACTGGAGATCCGACCTGTGTGTGTGTGTGTGTGTGTGTGTGTGT